AGGATTTATATATATATTAAACAGAAATGGAGCAAGAATATTCAATCTTATTCGACACCTCTCTCCAATGAAAGGAGTAGTTAAATTCCAAATTCTCTCCCACTCTGACCTGACAGATATTAGAGTCTGGAATGAAAGGTTCTAGCAAGGGAAAAAATTCAAACCTACTTCAATCCCCACATCAAACATCTTACACTAAAGAAGAATCTTATCCAGAGAAACAAATGCTGCCTGCAAGCACTAACCATGCACAGAGCTTTTGAAATATTTACAGACTAGGTGAGAGTGTGAAAGGCTGATCAATAGTTTGAGAAGTCCATAAATAGCATGTACACTCTACAAATACCGTACATCAGGCTCCCAATGCAGCAGCCTGGTCAGTAGAAACCTTGCATACAATTTAACTGCAATATCATTGACACTAATGGGTTTATGAGATGTGGAGGCTTTTTTATTGTCCATTACAATTGGAACACCACATGTAGTTGGGTAGGGGAGAGGAAATAGCTGAGTCAACACACATTTTGAAATAGCATCAAATTCCTCATTTGATTTAAAATGTTGCCTTATGAAACCCGTAACAAATAAGTGCTCACTTTAAATTGTTTCTGCCTCTCTCGCCCTACCCCCATTGATGTAGATAAAGTGATGTCTCTGCTGAAATGCCACCTGGAGGAAGTCCAGCTCTACCTCATGAATTTTCTCAGCCACCAAGAGATTCGCTTTCAGCAGCTGGGTATTTCTACGCTGGGCAAATTACTGGAAGGTATGTCCCTTGATTCATCAGTTCTCACTACCAGTACCCTAGACTGCAAGGCACAGCTCAATCCTAACTGCTCATCCAGGCTTTGAAGGATTAGATTTTTATCAGTAAATGTCGATTTTGCTGTGCACACACAAACCGATGAAAAAAATTAGAGATGATAATCAAAATTTACAGATAGGCAAAGAAAAAAATGCTGTTTGAGAAATTATTGGAGTTTGATTTAAGGAAATTTACTTTGTATATTTTGACATGTGATATTGACAATTTATGTTTTAATGGTTATAAAGTTTTAACTTTTTGAATCAATGGTGACTGTCATTAAATAACTGTCCGACCCTCCTCCATCATTTCCTGCAACTGTGAAAATTTAAATCAATAAAAATAGAAGGTTTAAACCCCAGAATTTTGCACAACTCAAACTATAAATCAATAATGTAAAAAAGTTAAAAATAAACATTGATATTATCTGTCAAAATTACTAAAAAATAAAAATTGAATTCTGCCAAGTCCACTGATATCAATGCAATACATTCACTGCCTGGTAAAAAAGCTTCACATACAGTAAATGTACCTGACAGTGCTACTGCCTACTGGGGATTAGCTCTATTCACTGAATCAAGGAGAGAGAGAGAGAGAGAGAGAGTAGACTCAGGGGTAGCAATTACCTTGGCTCTTAAGACACACTTACCAAAATGATTTTTCTAAAATAAAGGCAAACTGGTGCCGTTTTACTTTCTGAAAAAGGAACAGGCTTTATTGGGAAAGTATAGCCTGTCAATGGGACATAGGAGCTCTGTGCGTGGCTATTTGTCCAAATGGAACCGGACTAGCTCTTTGTCTTAGAAAAATGTCAAAATGTACAAAGAACACACCCAATAACCTCCTGGTTAGTGCTTGTTCATTAAATTTTCACTCATTAACAGTAAATTATTATCCTTAGCACAAGAGAGGAGAGAATGAATAATGGTCTGTCTTTACCACCATTTTGCTGCTTTATTTATGGACATTTTTCCAGGCTGATGGGCCTAAAATATAACTTGGCTTAGCAACAAGCCTTTCTCCACGTCTACCCAATTATGCAAAACGAGGATTGCAATATGCAGAAAATTCAGACTACTTAGCATGTAGACTGCTGAAAGGTACCACTGTTCTGTTCTCAAATGTCTGACCAGGAATGCCTACCAAACCATCTTAAAACTAGTAGGTCTCATATTTTAGGGCTACTAGTTTTGATTGAGCCTCTTAACATTTTTCATAGTATTTTGGGGGGATGGGGAAGTAGAAAGAAAGTGAAAGAATTGCTTCCAAAATAGTAAAAAACAAAAGAAAATAGGAACTGTCAGCCAGTTCAGCGGCTGAGTTGTTTCCTCCGTCGTTGTTATGTGGGAGACTCTATTCAACACTGGACTCAGCCATCTGAGCACTGAGCATCTGGATCAGCAGAAAGTAGCACACAAACCTTCCCACAAAGGTGAGGAGCTAACGATAGAGTCATCGTTCTCCCTTGTGTGGTAAGAAAATATTGTTTACATAGTATAGATTTTACGGGAAACTATAGCGCATTTGTATCATGAATAATGAGTCAACTGAGTACTTTTCTATCTAGCCTGCAAACAAAAAATCTAATTTATAAAGAAATTTAAAGGGAAGAATGTGTTTGTGGATAGAGCACTTGAGTTATGTGGGCTGGACAATCATACCCTGGTTTTCCTCTGTTCTCAGATCCAGAATTTTCATCTGCATTCAGCCAGAGTCAATTGATGGAGTATCTTGAGCAAGTCCGTCAACAGACAGAAGAAACTCAGGAGCTCCTTAAAATGGCTACCAGCCACAAAGGCAGTTAACATTTTATTTACTCACCTCATGAAATGCTATTCCAGCCTGCAGCCTGATCCCTCAGAAAGGGTAACTTTTTTTTTATTATTACTTCTCATAGCCAATATTTTCCTACCACTTGCAGTTCCACCCAACACATAATGACCCATTGGAATCATGTACTTTATATGGCCTTAATGTTTTGATAACGGAGTACGGTCTAGAAAAAGGTTTGAAAAAACATGTCAACTTACTCTAGTAAAATGTTTAATGGCTACAGCTATATTCCTGCCATGTACATGGCTGATAAAATACATGCAAAGTTTAGCCAATATTGGGTATCTTTTTGAACACACAGTAAGCACTGTGTGTGTGAGGTTTTATTTATGTAAAAAACAGGTTTTATTAAACACACATTCTTCCTAACACATTTGTATATGCAAACTATGCTGTGCTCTTCGATATTAACAATATTCTATTACTAGTCAGAGTCTGTGTTCATTATTTCATAGTACCCATATCACTAAAGTGCCTGGAGCTACCCCTAACTAAAGAGAAAGAGAACTGGAGTTAGAATATGGAAGATGTAAAGGGCAACACGTTCACTAGTGAAGAACAGTGAACTCAGAGGAAGAAAATGATAGTAATTAGTAATAAATAGAGTAATGAACTCACTGGGGTTGGGTGTCATCCAAACTACCACACTTTCATACTACAATGTCAGGATAAGGGGCCTTAGGGTAAATAACAATCATGCCCATTGTATGGATTATGTTTGAAATATAGCAGTTAACATGGACATATTGTCTCCCCTTCCTAAAAAAAAAAAAAAAACCCCAAACAAACAAACATAACCCCCACCTTGTAGCATGTCTAAACAGAGCTTTTTCAGGAAAATGTAACATGCACGAACTAGTCTATTTAATGCACCAAAGGAGCACCAAAGGCATTGCTGTATTTGTGTGCGAGTGTTAATTTTTTTTAAAGAATGGAACCTGGAGAGCTTATAAAAAACCATTGGAGATCTATGACAGAATTCAAGTTGTCTTGTGTTAGTTAACTACTATGATTTAAGGCTAAATTTTGCTTTCACGTAACTGTATATAAATCCCACACAAGTCTTTGTGGGTTGCATCTGAATACCTGAAGGCTGAATTTGGACCTGAGTGGTTAAGTAAAGTCTGGAGTTTTACAAATATGTCTATGCTTAAGCATGTCATAAAATTAAATCAGCCTAGCATTTACTAGACAAACTGAAATATACAGAAAGTTGGTATCAGGTGGTTTATAATCAGTGTTACATTTAGTGGTGAGTGTAACTGAATCACTGCTAATTTTTATGGCATTGTACTGGAGAATTAGTACATTTGTTAAACCCAATAGAATGGCCAGACATCATGCTATTTTGTTAAGGATGGTTCAGTTGGACTATGCAACTTTCAGCTTGCAATCAAAGAACATGCACAAGAAGTCAATTTTCCATGGCATACTTTGGGTAACAAAACCACAATTCCAAAATTGTAACTCCAACATTTTGAAAGTTCTTAATTGAAGTATAATTTTGGAGAAAACACCCTCTCCCTATAGGCTTTGAGGCTGCATTTATAAATTTCACAATAAATGCCATTTGATGTAATCTTTAGGACTGTAGTATATCCAGCACCTGTTTGGACCACCTCTCAGCAGGTATGCACACCCAGAGATTTAAAAAAGGCTAAATGGTACCAGTGCTTTTTAAGCTGTGGGAATAACTATACTGGATGGAGGGATGTAAGAGTTCTGTGCACTGTTCTGCTGAACATCTGCTCCCACATGTGTTCAGGAAAGTTTCTTACCATAAATGCTGGAAGGTTTCTCCTTCATTTGGGATTTGCAGAGCAGTGATCCAAAGACAAAACTGGTACGCTGGGGTGTACTATTCCTTTGGGAAAAGCGATCTGTGAATTCTGTGAGTGTCCAGTGGAAAAGGGGCGGGATACTCCAGGGGGCTGCTCCGGGGTTGGAGTGTGCCTATTACTAACCTGCAGAGGGACACCAGAGTCTGCATAGGCTAAGAGGGGAGGGCTTGTGTTGCCAGTGGCTGGTGGAGTTGGGGAACTGACCCCTAGCAGGCACAGACAAGGCTTCCTCATACTACAGGCAGGTGGTAGAGAGGAGCCTTATAACTCTGGTTACCCCTGGGAAGCATCACATGGGCTGCCATTGCTCTTACATGAATTCCCATGCATGACAACTCAGGTTGAAAATTTTGCTGAGAAAGCTGACTGTGTTGACATTCCTGGAAGATGAATAGCTTGAAAAAGAATATACTTGAACCACGGCTTCCTACAGAAAAGGGGATTTTTCATGCAATCCTATTTGTTTGTATAAGAGAAAGCAACAAAGTTATTCATCTTTTTTATGGTTAGTACTAGCTAAAGTGTGAACAAACCATTCTCCCATGGCTGGTGACTTGCTCTTAACTTTAGGATGTGGTCTGGACCAAATTCAAACAATCATTATTGCTCCTTTAGCTAGCAAAACTAAAGGTGCAAATGAAGCATTGCCAGGCATGAGTCCCTGTGGTGAATACCACTGGTGGAAGGGCCTTTCTGACAGGTGTAGACCCAGCTTTGCAGGAGCACCTGGCACAGGTGATACATTGGGGGTGTTCTGCAGTGACCTGGGGTGGGAGTAGGGCATGCCTGGTGCAGTCCCTGTTCCCTGGCAATTCTCCACTGCCACATGGCTCATGGAGAATATGGCAGTGGGGGTATGGCTTAAAGCACCTCAGAATGCTGGCCTAACTTGTACCAGGAGCTGAACCAGATCCAGAAGCCCCCCATAAGTAGGGGAAGTACAAGCTACCTCCCTTCAGTCTCTCTGATGACTCTAGCACCAATGCTGGGATGAGTTGCCCCACCCATCTTATGACTTCTGCCTTGTGACCATTACTACAGCCTTAGTATTCCAAACTCCACTCCTCACCATGCCTTCAACCACCACCCGTCCATTAAACTCTCTCTGGAACGCTCCTACACTAGCATCAACTTCTTGGACACCACAATCAGCTTCAACAATGAAACCCTCCAGACAGCTATATACAAGAAACCCACGGTTCGCCATGCCTGCCCTCACGGATCCAGTAACCACCCCAAACACACCAAGAAATCTGTTATCTACAGGCAGGCACTCAGATACCACAGAATATGCTCTGAGGAGAAAGTCCGGGATATACACCTTAACACCACTTTCACCAAACAGGGACATTCCACCAGAGAAGTAGATCGCATCATGGAATGGGCCACCCCAATACACCAAGAGAACCTACTTCAATACAGAAATAAACCCTCCTCTGACTGCACATGCCTAGTTGTTGCTTATGGGAATCCATAGAGGGTATAATCAAACTCCATCTTCTGGCCTTCAAACAATCCCCAACCTCTCCAAACTCATCATCAGAAGCAAGCTCCCCATAGACCAAGACACAGCAACTCAAAGCGGCACCAGACCCTGCCAGAACAACAGATGCAAAACCTGCAGACATATCTCCACTGCTACTATGATTAACACTCCCCACAACACACCTTTCAAGATCTATGGGCCCAAAGACATGCCTATCACAACATGTGGTGTACCTCATGCAGTGCACTAAATGCCCCAATAACAACTACATGGGTGAAACCAGACAATCACGATGCTCTCAAATGAACATCACGCAGGAAAATGATAAAAGACAAAAACACCCTATCACCCGTGGGGCAACATTTTCCACAAAGCAATCACTCTATACCTGACCAATCAGTCCTCATCCTCAAAGGAAAACTGCACAACACTTTTTCAAAAGACGAGCCGGAGACCTTAAATTCATAACTTTGCTAGATACTAAAAACCATGAACTGAATAGAAACACTGTTGTAATAAGCCATAAATCCAATCTATAACCCACTAACAACCCTCCCCTTCCTTTCCTCCCTATTACCAGAGGAGTGTTAATGGGCCATTTTACCTTGAATGGTCTCTTGAAATGTATTTTAACTATTTATGCTAAACAATCTGTTCCACCTTGTATTTAGCTGTGACACTCTAAGTATGTTTACCAGACCTGAAGAAGAGCTCTGCTTAAGCTGGAAAGTTTGTCTCTCTCACCAACAGAAGTTGGTCCAATAAAAGATATTCCGTCACCCACCTTGTCTCTCCAATATCCTGGGAGCAACATGGCTACAACAACACTGCATATGGTCAAATCGACATTTATCAACAAAATCTAATCCTTCCAAGCCTAAATACAGTTCACTTTGCAAACTTGTGATACAATTAGAATCTGTTCTTTTATCTGTTTTTCATAGAATCACAGAAATGTAGGGCTGGAAGTAACCTCGAGGGGTCATCTAGTCCAGCCTCCCATGCTGAGGCAGGACCAAGTATATCTAGACCATTCCTGACAGGTGTTTGTCTAACCTGTTCTTAAAAAAACCTCTGATGAGAGATTCCACAGCCTCCCTTGGAAGCCTAAACCAGTATTTTTCTATTTTATTGGGAATTTTACCTAACTGGAAACATTGTTTAAGACTTTGGCAAGAAGTAAAATAGGGCATTTCCTGTTAGGAATGAGATGAAAAAGTGAAGAGAAAAGAATGTAAGAAACTGAAACGTGATGACTAAACCTGCATTTGTGATGCAGTGCTTAATGTCATGGACAAATTTGCTACAGAGCACTTGATTGTGGCACTATGAACAAGTGATTGAGGCGATGAGATGAATATTTTCAATTCCCAACAATATGAAAATGTATGACTTCCCACTTCATAATGCTTGTTATTATTGTAATGTAAGTAAGACTTTTACAACTCCTAATTCTACCATCCTGGAATAGTCAAACAGCCCCTGACTGTGCAGATGGTTAAAACTGTTACAGTAACTGTCTACAAAGCTGACACCATTATATCCCATGACCACCTATATTTGATACTATGGTCTAGTAATAAAAACTATTTTAAAGAAGATTGACTTTTTCCTCCATTTAAAATCTTCTGTTTTCAAATGAAGGTGGGTCAAAACCAGGACTTCAAATCTTAAACCCTATGAATTTTTTGTCAGTAATTCTGATCCAAATGCCCGGATCTGAATTTACCCTTCTAGTTTTGGTTCCAGGTCAGACCCTACAGCAAAAAGGGCATTTTTTCTAATTCTGGTTTAGATATAGAATACATTTCATGAGAACTCTTTTCATTATAGTTCCAGTTTGGCAAAGTACTTAAGAACGGCTTAACTTTAAGCATGTTCTTAAATCTTATTGATTTCAATGCTGCATCAGAGTTTTTGGTCTGAAATCTCATGAGTACTGTTCATATGATCTCAAGGCCATCAAATTTGAATCCTAATCCAATCCCTGTTTTAAACATAATTTGAATCTAGATCCAAATACCAACTCATTGGTCCATCCCTACTTGTAAATGAGACTGTGCTACTTGCCTAATAAACAGATGAGAGAAAACCAAACAGTCACAAATAAGTGAAGAGTAGCTAGAACAATTTTCAAGCATAAACTGCTCCCTGGATAAAATTAATGTAACAAGATAACCAAAATATAAAAGGTACAAATATTCCAAACAAATTTTATTTGGTTCTTACATACTGTATAGATTAAAAGAAATAAAACCTACATATTTTGGACATATTTTTAAATATAATGGTTATGTACATGGAGAACTGTAAAGAAAGCAGAAAACAAACCCAATTCATTTCACTAGATCACAAACTATTTCTAAAACATTCTGACTGAATGGCTTCTCTCCCCCCCCCCCCCCATATAATCGGGGAGATGAAGTATCATTTTATGAATTTCCAGTAGATTTATCCAATCTCCTTTTTGAGAAGACACGCACCCTGTAGCTGTGGAAAGTCAGCTCTTCAAAACATTCTTCATAGAATTCTTTCAAGTCTTACCTTAAACTGAGCTTCCCTTTGATAACAAACTTGCTGCAGTGTTGCTCATTATGGGCCTGATCCAATGCCCAAAGGAGTTAATCGAAGGATCCTCATTGGGGCAGATCCCCAGCGGGTGTAAAATGTCATAGCTCCCTGGACCTCAATGTACTCCAGCTGAAGATCTGTCCCATTGATTTCAATCAGTGCCCCGGTAACGTCTCTCATGCACAACACTTAAGTACACCTCTGCCTCGATATAACGCTGTCCTCGGGAGCCAAAAAATCTTACCGTGTTATAGGTGAAACTGCGTTATATCGAACTTGCTTTGATCCGCCAGTGTGCAGCCCCGCCCCCCCAGAGCGCTGCTTTACCGCGTTATATCTGAATTCGTGTTATATCGGGTCGCGTTATATTGGGGTAGAGGTGTAGTAATTTCTGCCATTAGGAGCATTCTTTATAAAAGCAAAAAAAGTGCAAGATTTTTCAGTCAAGCTCGGTAGCAGCAAAAGTGACAAGTTTGGAATGCTGAAAGTGAAAAATCTGTGTCAGTGGACTAAAGAGGAATGGTAAGATTCAAGTCATTATCTGGTGATAAAGTGTACTGCATTTTAAAAAATGAACATTAAATAAATAAAAAGAACAAACATGCATCATTTTCCATTTGCTCTGAAATGACCCCCCCCCCCCCAAAAAACACCCCTCCCTTTCTTGTCCCAAAATCAATATTCAAGTTCACACAGAGTGTCACAATCTGATAAGGCAAAGAAAGATCCCTCCATTACTGGGAACAGCAGCAATTTACAGGACTCAAAAAATGATTTTTCTGAGTGTCTGCATGTGTACCTTTTATCATACCGTGAACATGAATGCAACTAACAAAATCAAGTTTGCAATATTGTTTTACCACATTTTTCTAATTTATTCAATTAGATGATTTATTTTTGTACTGAACAAAATTCATAAATACATTATCTAGGAGAACAACAGGTTTTCGTCTTGTCCATGAAAAAATAGCGCTTCAAATTTTCATATTTCAAAACCTGTTCCGCTTTGTGTTTTTAAAGAAAATGCAAGAAGATCGTAGTGACATTTGAATTTACAGAACGTCCATGTAGAAGTTACATTTACAAGAACCTGATACAGAAGCCTATATTTTGCCCCCATAATTAGAGTTCTCTGCAATAATATTTAAACCAACAGGTTTAAATGAAACCTCCCATTAGCCCTACTTGTAGAGCAATGAGATGTTTATTTTTCAAGTATTAGATCCGTAAAACGTAGAAGATTAGTCGCCAATTTTAAAAGCAACCACCCATCTTCAAAAAAAAAAAAAAAAAAAAATCAGGCCCTTTACCCCAATCAGCTCATTACTGTCAGATTCCAGTGCCTTTTGTCTTGAAGAATGCAGAAAATATTGATTTGCGAAAAGGAGCTTGTTGGAAAAAAAGCCATTTTAAGTAATGCACGTGAAGCATGATTTTCTAATGGTGAAAACTATTAGATAGAAAGATAATCCATGTCTATTCTCCATCACTTCTTCTGCTGGTTTTACTAAGGTCCTTTCAAAAAAGATATCCACAAATGTTTTAGAAAACTGGAGAGAGAAAATAAAACAGTCCTTCATAGTATGGAAGGAACTCCATAGGCAGCAGAGATGCTTACTTCATCTTTGGCTCTTCAGAAGAAACGGTCAGATAACTTCTACAATGAAAGGCAATAAAAAGGACAGATTAGCAGATGGGAATAATTTTTAGCTAAAAAGCCGATTTAAACAGCACTTTCATTGGCTGATCCTTTTGCTCAAATTTTCTATACATGGAAGAAGGAAATAATGCAGGCAGCTGATTTAGCTTGTGATATTTATTATTCAGTTCATACTCAATATATACAAAATTCTAGTCTGCTTCTTTACAGAGATCTACAGCGACGGCTGCTGCAGGCAAACCTTCAGTATCAATATCAGAGATAGAGCCTCCTGGTCATCGCGTTATTAGGGAAGGGTATTCAGTATTCTTACGTATAAGGCAGTAACCATTTCCCCATTCCATAGAGAACACCCCACAAGAGGGATACAACTTTCCATTTGGATAGTTGGAATGTATTGCTGGATCAGAAGCTGCTAAGACAGTGGCAACTAATTATGTCACAGCAAGGTTCTCCTGTTCATGCTGCTGCTGAAGCGCATTGTGCAAACATTTATAAAACATCCTCATGAGCAGAACTGGGTGAAATTTTTCATTTGAAACCCTTTACAGCAAAAAATGAAGATTTTAGCCTTCAGCAACCAAACATTTTTATGAATTTGTGTCAGTTTTGCTGAATTGTTTCAGTTAGAAAGAGCAAAAAGCTGAACAAATTGAAATGTTTTGATTTGTTTTGGTCAAAACAACTTTTTGTTTCTAAATTTACTTTACTTTTATTAAGATATAATCAAAAACATTTTAAAATGGTCAATATCAAAATGTAACATTTTGATTTGTTGAAACAAAAAATTTCAATTTTGTTAAAACAAAACTTTTGTTCAACCTGTGTGATGGACTGAGAAAAAGGTCATCATATTTTGTATGAATATGGTGTGTGCCTCAGTTTCCCTTTTGTGGTGCATGGTTAACTAAGTGGGGAGCGGGAAAGGTTGTTTACTCTTTGCAGAAACCCAGTGATCCAGGTGTGACTGACCTAGCTGCCTCGGGTCTGGGCCCCCATGCCCATGGAGAGTCCGAGAAGACAATGGCCACGCCAATTGCCCAGACATTTGGCACCTAGCAACTAACCACCATGGATGGCCCACCCTCTGCAGGAAGCCAGCTGGGTGCGACCAGCTGGAGAACAAAGGGCTAAGGAGGAGGGCCAGGTAACCATATTTGCCCAGGAACAAGGACAAAGGAGTGAGGAGGGGCCAGGTGGAGTTGTTAAGTGTGGGCTGCTGGAAACAGGAGAAGCTTCTGGACTGGGACGAAGAAGGGGTCAGAGGGCTCGGGACTGACCCAGATGGACTATGCTGTAACTTTCTGTTCTCTATGTTAACTAAAGACTTTCTATGCTGTGTTCCAGACCTCTAATAAACCCTTCTGCTTTTACAATGCTGGCTAAGAGTCACTCCCATTTAAGGGAGTTGGGGGTGCATTGCTCCCTTTGGGCGTAGAAGTCTCTCTCTCTCTCTCAGGTGTCCAACTCAGGTGGACTCGCTGGAGGGAGCTCACGGTGTGAAGCAGGGGTGTGGAAAGCTCTGAGGCTCGGTCCCAGGAGGCAGTGAAGCCAAGTGGCTTACCCTAGTGAGTGTGTGACCCTAAGGGGGCTGACACAATGAAGGGGTCCTCCAGGGACAGTTCCAGAGCTGTTCAAGAGCAATGGACCTATGCGTCCGGGACAACCTGACATGATTTTTTTTTCAGAATCGTGAGTGAACTGAAATATCTGTTATTCACACCCCTATACGCATGAAGCCAAGATTTACTAGGAACCCCTTATTTCCCCTGACTTTAGGTTAACAGTCATGATTCACACAGCACTATGCAAGTATACATGGCTTTGCAAACACATAGTAAGACATGCTCTCTGCCCCAAATATTTTACAACCTAAACTGCTTAAATTAACCATCTGGTTATGTACATCAATTAGGGACTCCATGGTCTCTCTCATTTACAAAATATTACAAATTCTAATGGTCCAAAGCAAACCTACCTGCTGTTTGATGTGTTTGAACACTATCTACCTGAGGCAATGGCCCCAGAGTCCCCTTATCTTCAAAGGCTAAAATTGGATTCAAAGGAATTTCAGGGCTATTGCTTCCATCATTGTTCAAGGCATCCAATGTGGATGGTTTAGATCCAATGGGTAAGTTTATGATCTCTTCAAAGTTGTCATTCTGCATAGACACTCCATTTTCATTTGGTTCTTTTCCAGGATTGAGATTACTGGAAGAAAAAATATAAATAAAAATCTTACTAATAATGTATGTTATTAGCGTACTGGGACACAGCTGATCAAGAGCTGAAACTAAACAATCCACACACAATAGTGACCATTAGTTTTCATATACTGTAGTATTATTCAGTATGTACAGTATTTGGGGTAGCAGCGAACAAATGACCTCAGCATTTACTTTCACCCTTATTAGAAATCCACATTTCTTTTTTCCCTAAGAAATAAGAATTTTTAGGGCCAGACCCAAATTTAGAAAACGAGTCTCCACTAGCTAGCATATCCGCCACTTGAAGATGGATGACACTTACATGTACGTGTTCCTGTTGATCTGTCAGAACCAAAAGAATCACTTTGAAAGAAATGCATTAAGTAAAAGCAACATTATAAGTAGAAGAGAAGTCTGCATTCATATACAGTGATTTATTGTATACTATACTGAACATTAATTGCAGAGCTAGACATCAAGTTACATAAGCCATATCTAGCGACAATCTGCACTCTAATTTTGTTCAGTAAGTGTCCTATTTCAGAATAGGACTGGTGTCCATTAAGCCTGGTGATGGTATGCCTTTGTATTACTCATAAGAATGCCATAATCTGCTGCACCATAGTATCAATGGACATATCATGGCTACAGCAAGTGACCCACACAAAAAAGAAACTGAAGAGAAAAAAATGGTAGTACAACCCTATTTATTTACCGACCTTTAGTACGTCTAAGGTATTTCTGTGTTACCTTTCTCTGCTCTTTACATCTCAGATATCTTGAGACTGGCATTCTCTAAGACTGCAAGTGCCTTTGCTCTTCATAATATCAAGTACTTTCCTTTACAAGACCTGCAGAATATGAGTATGTCTTGCCATTCCCTAATTTTGCAGGCTCTGCTCTTGTCCTGCTGCAACCTTCTCTTTCTGACCTACCTAGCATCTGCTCCCAGTCCGTCCAGATGTGAAACTCATTTATTGTGTCTGCTGCTTTGACCATCCAGTCCTCCTTCAGATTCATCATCTTCTGCAAGCTCCTACTCCTTACCTTCCAGGCCCTGCCCATCTTTGCCCTATCCAACCCCTCTGCCCTTGTCCTCGTTCACTCTGCCCAAGCCAATACCAACATTCTCAGTGTCTCTCACTCAGATCTGGGCCTTCTTGCTTGCTTCCCCATATGTCTGGAACCCTCTTCTTAACTGTGTCTGCCCTCTCCTCCTCCAAGTCCCCTAGTAAAACATGCCTCTTCTATGAGGCTAATAAACCCTAATATTTCCCTCTAAGTAAATGTATTAAAAATACCAAAAATCCCTGATGAACCTTGATGACGCCTGAATCATTCTCCTAAGCCTCCATGTTATCCTGTTTCTGTACCTTCTCTCCTGCTTAACACACCTCAGTGTCTGTCACCATCCTGCATTATTTTTTGTTTTAACATCTGAGTCTGCCGCTCTCATTTGCACTGAGTGGTCCCTCACTCCATGTAAGAGGATTATGGTGTTATTCATTGTGCGAATGGCAGCACTGGGGCTTAAATTTTAAGCTCCTTGGGGCACAGGCATTGATCTTTATTTGTCCATAAAGCATCATGTAAACTTACAGTGATGTATAGATTAATAATAAAACCCTTAATAATTTAGGTCCTGGCATCCTAAGGCACCTCCTCTCTATTTGGACCATACCACAGCTGTTGCGATCAGCTGGAATGACTTATCTGAGGGTGCCCAGATTTGTATGTCAGGGTCTGACATCTCTGGAATTTCTTTTACTCCATCCAGGTCTAACAGGGCTTATCAATTGTCTCAGGCCATTTCTGAGCAGGTGGTTCACTATTAGGTTTGAGAGTCTTTTTAATAAAAAATAAACCATGTGGCAATTGGAAGTTATTTACTGGCTTTTCTGTGGTGTTCAGCACTTCCCAAACATCGATGAATTTATCACCGCATCCCCCCGAAAAAGTGAAGTATCATCATCATCGCCATCCTATACACGAGAAACCGAGGCAGAGAGATTACGTGATTTAACTAGGATTACACAGGAAGTCTGGATTTGAGCCCAGATCTCGAGTGCCAGGCCAGTGCCTCAGCCACAAACCAGCCACTCTCTCAGAAGACCACCCCCTTCTTCACTTTGTTGGCATGGTAGGTGGGATTTTTAAATGAGAGGGAGTGCAGCCTAGTGGATAGAACATTGGACTAGGACACAGCAAACCTGGGTTCTATTCCTGGTTCTGACAGTGGCTGGCTGGAAGAATTTGGGCAAGTCACTTCCATTTTCCATGCCTCAGTTTCCCCATGTGTAAAATCAGGATAATGATACTGACCTTGTTTGTAAAATACTATAAAAGAGCTAGGTATTATTGTTATTAAATGTGCTTAGTTGTTCTCTTAACTCTGTTCCCATTAACTGTGAATGACTTGAACGGGAGCAGAGTTAGGCTAATATGGAGAGCACGTGAAAAATCTCATTCATTTGTTTTTGTTTTTATTTTTTTGTAAATATGCAGAGAGAAATTGATAGGAACATAAAGCAAATAGATAAAAACTGCAGTGACACTGATAGTGTCATTGCAAAACAACATCTTGCCTCTGGAAATCCACATTAGGCCTCTAGTTTAATAAATCACTCAGGAGGTATTTAATTCTTCACATTTATTTTAAGTGAAAAGCAAAAAAATTAGTAGTGGCACAATTATGGACGGAGCACTTCAGAAAGCAAAACTGCATTAGATCTGGACACTTCAGTACCAGGGAGACAAACTGGAGGAAGTTCAGAGAAGAGCAACAAAGCTGATTGGGTGATGGAAGGTCTGACTTCGGAAAGATTAAAAGAGCTACTGTAAAATATATATTGCTTGGCTAAGTGATAATTAAAGTCTTATGGTTGGACCTGATAGATATTTAAAAGTATATGAAAGGAGTAAACATGAATGAAGTGGAATTACTTCGGATTTGATTTAATTATTTTTTTGATCACTCATCTAGGATCAGTGCCTCAAATAGTTTACTTGTCCTTAAAGCATTTGTAGTGATCTGTCAAAATATTTCTACACCTGGCTGCGCTAGGATCTTAGGAGATACTAGACCTTAAATAATGACTGTCGCCTGATTTATTAACATTATTTCGGCAGAGCAGTCAGAGATTAATGCTTTCTTGGATGCTGGGTTCCAGGTTTTTGGATAAAGCATTAGCTCTATCTCTACCATTTCCTGAGATAGCAGGCTCTCATACCAGGTCAGTAATGAAGAGGTGGAGATGTGGGGAAGGCAAGATAGTCATCAGAGTAAAGGGGTTTTAAAGGGTGATATATCACAGCATGCCAGACTGAGAAATGAATACTGTATAAGCTCTGAAAACCCAGCAACATTCTTTTTCAGCTCAGACGGTTCACAAGACTGTACCCTTTCTACTGTCACTGGTCCCTAGTAGTGCCTTTTTTGAGACTGTCTTGGACTTAACATGGTAAGAATGAAGCACTGGCCCAGTGCAATGATCTGTGAGGGTGGTACACGAAGATAGCAGGAGCACTGATATGAAATTAAAAAAGAAAAGAAAAGAGTGAACAGCACAATTCATTAGGCAGTAAAATATTCTCCCAAGGTAAGGGGCAGGTATGACATAATTTGGGTAAAGAACTAGAAAATGTATTATAGGCAACAATCTTTCCGTGGCAGGGAGATGGAATAGGTAACCCAACAGGAGTTATCTATGTTCAATTTCATGATATCACTTATGGATACTGTTCAGTGAATTAAGGGGGAAAAAAGAAGCAAGCTTTGGTGCCACAATTTGGAAACCCTGAGGGTGGGGAATATATTTTGGAACCTTCTTGCATTTTGATGAGGAATCTGAATTTATTTTTGTTTGCCTTATATTATATTTCAAACCACAGTTTTAAATCTATTTTCCCAGTTCAACAATACACAGTCTGATTCATTTAAAAAAATGAATCAAAAGTAGATAAAACCCCCTGACATAAGAACATAAGAAAGGCCGTACTGGGTCAGACCAAAGGTCCATCTAGCTCAGTATCCTGTCTACCGACAGTGGCCAATGCCAGGTACCCCAGAGGGAGTGAACCCAATCGGCAATCAATCAATCAATCATCCATCTCCACCCTCTAACAAACAAAGGCTAGGGACACCCTTCCTTACCCATCCTGGCTAATATCCATTAACGGACTTAACCTCCGTGAATTTATCCAGTTCTCTTTTAAACGCTGTTATAGTCCTAGCCTTCACAACCTCCACAGGCAAGGAGTTCCACAAGTTGACTGTGCGCTGTGTGAAGAACAACTTCCTTTTATTCGTTTTAAACCTGCTGCCCATTAATTTCATTTGGTGGCCCCTAGTTCTTGTATTATGGTAACAAGTAAATAACTTTTCCTTATTTACTTTCTCATTTTCTCATTTTAGTTGCCCTTCTCTGAACCTTTTCTAATGGCAGTATATCTTTTTTGAGATGAGGAGACCACATTTGTATGCAGTATTCAAGATGTGGGTGTACCATGGATTTATACAAGGGCAATAAGATACTCTCCATCTTATTTTCTATCCCCTTTCTAATGATTCCTAACATCCTGATTGCTTTTTTGACCTCCGCTGCACACTGTGTGGACGGCTTCAGAGAACTATCTACGATGACTCCAAGATCTTTTTCCTGATTCATGGGGGCTAATTTAGCCCCCATCATATTGTATGTATAGTTATTTCTTCCGATGTGCATTACTTTACATTTATCCACATTACATTTCATTTGCCATTTTGTTGCCCAATCACTAAGTTTTGTGACTAAAGACAAATAACCTGCCATTAATGGTGCTTCAACATCTGCATGAACTACTGTTTTTCTTCTTAATTCTGGGATGCTTTCTGATATAAGTGGAAGATTTCCACTTGCATATGCCATTTCAAAATCTGCAGTCTGCCCAGCACACCATTTCTAGGTGAGAAAGAGTAACATTACACTTATTTGAGTGAATGATTTGTAACTATGAAGCTCTTGACACAAACAATACCAATGATAAGTCAAATATGAGGCCAGGTTCCTTTATGCTGAATATCACCTTATTACTCAGTGAGTAGCCCTAACGTGATAGTCCATGTGAGTAAGGGTGGCATAATCAGGCCCTTAAAAGTACTTTCAGAAGCTGGATGCAACAGAACTCAGTTTAATGTCCATAGGCAGTATTTGGGCATGTAGCAGTTATTAGATGTGATTTGAGAGATCAGCTTGAGACCACTTTGAAAAGCTGGACTCTAAATGTGATGAAACATTTAACATTAGCATGAGTCCCACTTTCTCTCTCCTTCCACAAAACAAAACTGTTATAGTGTTTATAAATGTATAAATTAGAGCTATTATCTATTAGTAATAATTACTGATTAATTAATATAAAGTATAATCAAGCTACAGCACACCATAGCATTTTCATTAGGGCTTATAAAGACTATCGATCTTCCAGGGATAATGAAGTCCTAGCAGGATAACAAGATCAGCACAGTTAATTAAAAGAATCAACAACAACAACAAAAAAAGTCAACTGTCCTTTTCTGCTAGTATTCCTTTTATTTTTCTATTACTTTGTATCTATTAACATGGAAGCAGGGCTTTCACTGGAGTCTTGGTCCCAGCACACAGCCTGAGTAAGCTGGGTGCTCCTGTGAGTGGGTGGGGGAGGGCACAGATCAGAGGGGCAGATCAACCAACCTACTCTGCCCCACAAATGCTCCATGATTCTTGACCTGGGCTCCAATAGCAAACTGGAGAACTTCCACAGCTCAGTACCCAGGAACCCAAACCTCTACTAATATTTAAAACCATCCTATTTATAAAGGCCAAATCCCATCCCCGAGTCCCTCCTTGGGGTACTGACCCAACTAATACCGGAGGCATTGAATGGGGAGAGACAGGATGTGTTGCACTTGAGGTTTAAGCACCATCAAGCAGAGCAAGGAAGGGTATATTGGGAGTGAACCAGGGGAGGTGTGGTCAGTGGATGCACAACTGTGCAGATGAGCCATCAGTTAAACTGTGAACCTCTTGCAGAGAAGGGGAGGCAGCCGTGGAGGCCAAGGGCTATATTAGCAGCTGAGGAGCATTCTCATTGTTACTCCCTGGGCTGAGAGAATGACTCCATCCCCTAGGAACCCTTCAGGAAACTCCCTGGTGCAAAGCCACTTACTCAGGTTTTGCCTAGAGAAGAGAATTTGGGCCATCATATCAACCCCCTTCAAACCAAGTGCAAGACCGTTTCGGCAAAAGCCAAATCTTGCTTGTGCAGTGCAGAGATTTAGTAAATGTCCAGAGTCACTCAGCCAAAGCTGCTATGTTGCTGCCTTTCTTTATACAGAGTAATATATTCTTTCTGTGTTTGTTGTTTCAGCTGCATGATGTTTATTCATTCCTTACCTTGGCTGCTCTGAGGTTCTTTCTACTCTAAATATGATGCTACATGACAGCAATTATTAGAAAGGCATATATTATATTACAAACATCAAGGTGCATTTAAGATTGAGAAATAATTAGAATTTAATAGCTGCCTTAATAACGGCTTTATGCAGTTCATCTAACACAGTTCAACGTTCAGTGTCACTGACAGAGCTTCTCTCAGGAGGGGCCTCCTTGTCAGTGTGACAGGAGGTGAAGAATCCCTCAGGCTTGTAGAGATATTGAGATTTCCTCCTTTAATTAGGGCCAATCTTACTGCAGAGCATGCTGCCCATTAAAGTCTGTTTGCCGGATTTTTCATTGATATTTTGGCTCTAGCTGCATAAATCATGAACTCACAATGGGGTAATTTGGTTTTCTGCAATGCAATATGAGAAGAGCAAATACTGAAACCGAGAAAAACTGACAGCTCAACCCCACAGGACACCAGCCTTTACTTGACTAAATACAAATGTTTTCAAGCATTTCAACAGAATTTTTCAAAGTGTGCACAACTTGCCCCATGGCTACAGGGACCTGCAACATCAAATGCCTGGCTTACAAAACTACCTTTACAGGGAATGAATGCTTTTAATCAACACAGGATAATTCTCTAACTGCCATCAAGTAACTTGTCAAGTGATTAGTATTTGTTAACACTCTGAAGAGTACAAAGACAACTAGCCTAAAAGCAAAGCACTCCACACTGCATGCAGGAAAACTAATGCTGTGAATGCAAAATAGCTTTAGAAAGCATTTTTTTGTAACACGTGTGCATAGCCAATAATATTTCAATTCTTGGAAAGGAACAAGAAAAATTGTCCTTCCCCCTTGAGATTTAACATCTATAGTATTTGCTGGCAAACAGCAAATTTATTTTCAAATAATATTGCGAAGAGTAAGAGTGCTATGGTTTTACAAATTTCATCACTACAACCAGATAAAAATAGGTCACTTCTAAGTGAAATATGTTCAAACTTCCTTTTCTGAGCATTGGGGAGAAAAAACAAAAAACAGTGGAGAAAAGAACAATGTTTATCTTTAATTTCCTTCATTAAATAAATGGAATAAACAAACTGTTATTTTAACATCCCTCATCCTCTAAACTTTTTATATTCCTTATGACTATTCTCACCTGTCCATATTTACTGTAGGTTGATGTGAAATGACTATCTGTGAGTGGGTTACCGATTCCCCATTGTGTGGTGATTCTGTCACATGCTGAAGCTGAGATGCAACTACAGATTCTAAGGGAGATGTGGGACTGGTTGCTAGAAGAAAGGAGAAAAAAAAAAAAGTCCACAAAAATTTAAAGAAAGACAGTCTGCCCAGAAAATAGGATAAAAACCCCCTAAATCCTGTACAGTCAAGAATGCTTTGATCAGTAATAATACATATCAAGTTTGGGTTCCATCTTAACAATTTAATATAACTCAGTCAGAAATGAATAAACAAAATTCCAATGTAAAATGTATTTCTTCGGAACAGCAGCAAATTTCAACCTTTGGTCTGTGTTATACAGGAAGTCAGACTAGATGATTACAACGGTCCCTTCTAGTCTTGGAATCTATGTAAATGCTGTACATAAACTTATTTCCATGTAGAGAGTGTGTGACGTTTTCAGTCTTCACTACACACACACACACACACACACACACACACACACACACACACAGGATGACATATGTAACTGCCCCACCTGCAATCTACAAAAGCAGAAACTACAACTTTTAGTTTTATATTCAGGTGGTGGGGAAATTAGGGACATAGTTCATGTCTTCTAGGTACTGCCATAACCCTGCAGCTGTGCATAATCTTACCAAGGATTGTAAAACCCAAGAGCAAATTTTTGAGAGATGAGGATAAACTTTCAGTCTTAACTCTGACTTCTGTAGACTTATATAAATATATGTGATTTTCATTTTGCTTAGTAAAACATGCTAAAACCCCCTCAAAAATTAAGAAATAGTGCCCCCACCCAACTGTATCAAAACCTAATAGGTTACTGCTACTGAAAGGTGTTTATCTGACAGTCCTAAACTTATCCAAAAACAGGCAGTGTAAGCTTCTCCACATTGTTCTACCAGTGTGCCTCCACTCCCGACATGGAGGGCTCATCACTAGAGGTCAGTCGATAGGATTTTAGACTCTTAAGTATCTAGATCTCATTTGAAAAGGGGATTGAGACACCTCAATCAGTTCGGCATTGTGCTGCTGAGCGCAGCAAATCCTAAATGCCTTTAGGAATCTGGGCCTAAGTCCCTATTATTTTTATTAATAATAATTATACTTGGCTCTAAGACTGCACCTCCATATGCAGATCTTTACAATGTGCTTTACAAATATTAAATTACAAATATTATTGACTAGACTGAGTGTTTACTCTCAGGCCTGGGTCAGAGCAACTCCAGAAGGAATTGTTACTCAGGGACACTGCTCAGAGTCAACTTTCCTCAGGAGGTCCAGCTTTGCATGGTGGGAAGGGAGGGGCCATATGCTGCATCAGATGCTGAATGCTCCCCAGCCAGCCAACTTCACTAGCTGATGCATATGTGTGGAGAGGAGGAGAAAACAGAGCCCTTGAATTGCATGAGCAGCCCCTTTTCTCCCTGCACTCAGACTCACAATATGGATAAGCCCTGTGCAGTGGCAGAGAGGGTGGAGGGGATTGGTCACAAATAGGCTCTAAATCAATAAATTAAATAGGCTCAGGCAATGACTTTTGGATATTTTATATCTACTAATACCCTGTATTGACTATTATTTATTCAGCACTATGAAGTTATATCTAAGTGACAAGTACTATTAAGCATTATGACTAATATCAAATTTCAGCCTTGAGCAAATTTGTTTCAATGACTGAGATAAAATAAAATCCTAAAAATAGGGGTTAATATGGAAAACCCTGAGAGAACAGGCTCTTATAGCTGTAACACTACTCCAGTAAAATGGTAGAATCAGCACTGTCAAACTTGATACAACTATCATAATTAACGTGTTCATTTTCACTCTAAAGAACATTCCCACAAGCGACGATAACACAGACATTTTCTTGCAAAGCACTGAGCTACATAGCTCTAAAGGAAATATTCATGGTGGTAACATTCTAAAAAAAAAAAAAATCTTAGAAATTTCTCATTTAGAAATTTTAAATAATTAAAATCTACTCAAAAACTAAGTGAGTCCGTTGTGTTCTTGACATTTATATCAGCTAGCTTGGATTGCAAAATTCCAAAATCCTATCAACCTCAATTCATTTGGCTATGTATTTCTTCTTGTTCTGGGCTAAGAGCAGAGTCAAATGCCATACCTGTTTCTCCAGTAACATTTGCCTTAGATATCTCTCCATTTTGCTGTTCATTAGATTTCTATAAAGGAAACACAGTTTTGTAAATTAAAAGCAGCACTGGAGAAAAGGGAAACATATGCCCAGGTGTTTATATGGATGATGAAATGTAGCATATACCTTATCTACAGCTTCTGTGCGCCTAGTTCTTTTCATGATCTCCTCAAGTCGCTACAAAGAAAGTTACAAAGAAGGAAAATGTTTATTGACATTGATTTAAAAAATCACCCTAAAACCCATAATCTTTGGTAATGTATTAAAATTGGCATTTACCGAAGGAAAAAACCAACCTCTTGGGACTTGATCTAAATCCCATTAAATCAATGGGAGTCTTCCCATTAACTTCACTGGGCATGGATCCAACCTTTAGTGAATTTCTGAAGCAATAACTATATGTGTCTTTCTACAGTGCACATGCAAATAAACAAACTGCTGAGATATACAGTACCAAGATTCCCTGCATGCATTCGGTTACCTTCTTCCTTTCTAAGCGCTCTTGTTCTTCTCTTTGGGAACGTTTTTCACGCTCTAACCGAATCCGCTCTGCCTCTTCACTCTGGCGAGCCGCTTCTTCTTTCTGAGTAATGGGAAAGGAACAGAAATAGGGAGTTATTCGCAATGTAATGGCTGATCCGCACTGGCATCTGCCTATCTTTGTATGACATTTTAATTTACAACAATCTGACAAGGAACTTTTGGGGTTATGTCATCAACAGAATTTTCAGACTGAAATGCAGGTTTCTTAATTAACGTCTGTGTTCCTCTTTCTTCTCTTAATTTTATGTAAATTAAAAAGCTGGTAATCTTGTTTGGTTCGGTGTCTGTTTTATGATGCATGCATGAATGCACAGAAGATGACTAATGAAAATGCATTTCCTAACCTAGCAGCTAGCAAAAGTGTTCATGAGACTAATGCACTGGGCTGATGAATGCTTTTGATAGGGTCAAAAGAAAGCAGCAGAATTCCCTCCTATTCTCCAGACACTGTCCTTGCTTAACAAAAGCAATGACAAACAGCCATATGCACACTTCCTGTTTTTTAATTAAATGTAAGGCTCCCTTGGGAGGTACCGTTGAAGGGCTTTCTCTGTAAGATAAGACTGTCTTGTATTATTGGAGGCACTATAATAGTTCCCTAGTTAAGGGTGCATTGAGATTTGCACTTAAAAGAGGTTTCATCCTGTTTTATATATGAATATTATAGAGTATATGCCTCAATTTACAGCATGTACTCAGAGTACAGAATACATTTTCTGAAAATTTTCAGGTAAATGTCTTCATTAGTTTATAAGTTTAATTACTTTAATACGATCCTATATCTATCTATATCTATATATAGTGTGTGTTTTGTGTGTATTCTAGTCAGACTAAATTTACATATTTGTTGAGAGGATAAAATCATTAATGTTTATGAGGCACCCACATGCTAATGAGGGTTAGATAAGTATGTAGATAGAAGAGGAATCTAAGTGCTTTGCATATATTAAATAATTTAACCTCACAGCAGCCCTACTGCAGCTGGTAAAACAGCATTATTATGCCCATTCTACAGATGGTAAACCGAGGCAGAAAGCTCAAAGACCCAATTGTGATACTCTTACCTTGAGTGGTACCTTCCTTCTTGACTGCTTTCAATAACACTACTCGAAGGGCAAGGTGCTATTCAACATAAGTAAGAGTATCAACATCTGTTCCTAAACCACGAGCCCCACACAGGCAGTATCAGTGTAAGGATTAGAATTCTGGAGTTTTGGATTTCCTTTCCTATGCTAAGTCCTCAGCTTCTCTCCTATAGGCGTCCAGAACTAACTCTGAATAGTAAAATTACCTTGGCATCTAGCATGTTAAAACTGTAGGGCCCAAATTCTCCTGTGGTATAACTCCACTGAATTCAAGAATTTGGCCCATAATATTAAGGGGCTAATTTTAAATTAAAAACAAACCAAAGTCCTACAGAAAAAGATCCACCCGCTGCTAGATTTTTCCACGGAGAGAAATACATCCCAGCTGATCTGTACCCATCTATGAAAGCAAGAGTCAGTCCATAAGTCACTTAAATTTGTAATATAACCTGCACATCCAAAAGGAAATCTAGAGCTACCCAGGAGATTAACAACCCAAATCACCACCACACAGCCTGGTATGAAAACTCCATGGAGAAGCATACTTGTTTCTGAATGCGCTCCATCTCCTCCTTCTCTTTCTGGTCTCTTTCTTCTGCCTGCCGGCGTAGCTCTTCTTCCTTTTCTCGCTCCTGCTCTACCTCCCTTCGCTTTCTCTCCGCCTCTTGCCTGCGAGCCTCCTCCTCCTCCCGGCGAGCTCTCTCTTCAGCTATCTTCTGTGACAACGCCTCCTTCTTTAGCCTGTGACCACGAAACACAAGTGTAAGAGTGTGGGCGATTCTGGGCTACGGCAACAGCAGCACCGGACAGAACAATGAGATTTCTGACTCCGAGTGAAATGTAACAGAGGTGAGCGTTAGTGCCCAAAGTGGTGATTCAGTTGGTGAGAGAAGGCAAAAGAAAGAGTGAGATATGCATCATTTACATCCAGAATTACTGGAGAGCTTTGGTATTAAATGAAAAAAGGGAAAGGCCTATAAACCACAGTTATTGGAAATCTAAAAACACTTTCCATGAAGACCCTACTAGCTATAGATATCATCATAGGCAGCGTGTGACTCTTTCTTTTGGGGAGGCTTATGTGAGCACTGGAAGCTCCCTAGAAGTGTGTGTGGGGGGCTGCACCCACTTCCCGCTCAGCCTCTTCCCCCTCCCCACTGCTCATCCCTTGCCCTGAAAAGTGATGGGGCCATGGCCAGTGAGAGGCTGTGTGTGCTGATGCCAGAGCAACTCAGCTAAGGGGTGCCAGAAGAGGGAGGGGCCAGGGCCTCCCTACTTTTTCCTGCCTTAAGGGTGACCAATAGGGGGAGGGGGTGGAGAGGAGCGAGTGGCGGGCAGGAGGCCTTGGAGGAGGGAGCGGAGAGGAGGGAGCAGCAAAGTGAGGGCGGGGCCTCGGGGGAAAAAGGCAGAGCAGGGGCAGGAAGAGGCGGAGCGAGGGCAGGGCCTCAAGGGAAGAGGCTGAGCAGGAGCCTCCTCACCCATGATTATCATAGCTTTGAGGATGAAGATAGCCATGGGCCGGATCCTCAGCTGGTGCAAATCATCACAGCTTTACTGAGTTGGAGATACGGTGATTTGCACCAACTGAGGATCTGTCCTTCAGTCTCTCTGTTTAAAGCACTAATTGCACATATGAACAGATAGGACACATTTGTTAAGAAGTTTTTCAGATTTTTAGTCTCAGTATTTTTCAGCTTGTGCGACTCATGTAAACAAATCCTGACAAGACAATTATTCCTTCAGTTTGGATTTTCATGTTTCCTTTCCTTAAGGATCGGTTCTGAACCCTCCTTATTAAACACTATGGTAGCTACCAAAATGACAAAAAGATGCTAAAATGTATCCTCTCCACTGAGCAGATTTGGGTGTCACCTTTCAGTCTCTTCCCTCTCCTTCCTTTCTTGCTCCTCTCGTTCTCGCTGCTCACGGGCCAGCCGCCTCTTTTCAGTAAGCAGTCTTGTTGCTTCTTCCGGGTCAGTAGTACCTGCTGAAGCCTTGCTAGAAACAGGGGATGGTGAAGTTGCTGGTGGAGCAGGGGGCAAAGCTGGAGCAGCTATTGAAACAGGCAGAAAGGGAAAAATCCATCCATATAATGCTGTGTCAAAAATAACGACCCCCAACAGTGTATAATTGAATAAACCTCCCTAGGAGGATGGGAAATACAATTTGAAGTATGGGAGCTTTGATTATATAAAATTTTCAGGCCCATAGGGATACATGAGAAGAAGTGGAAATCATTAGCTCCTGAGGTCCAGATTCCTTCGGAGGGAATTTTGCCCCCGTGCACCCACAGGAGGAGTTCCTGTTCAGGTGGAATTCTGCCAGGGAAGAGAGCAGCTTTAAACTCAGACTGGGGCACAACAGGAGCCCTGGAAAAAGCCTAGGAGAGTTGCTGAATCAGCCCATTTCCCAGGTGGCCTGACCCTGCTTGGGCTGATCCCATTTTTGTATGTGTACTGATCGCAGTGCAGGGGTTGTGGGCAGTTTGCAATACTGTGTCCTCCCTTCTGGCCAGCTGTCTGGTCTCAGGGGCCTCAGCCAGGGTTCTGCTAATGCCATCAGGCCCTTCATTTCTGAAAGTGCCCTTCAATTAAGGAGGTCTTGTGAAAGCCCCCGTTAGCACAGCGATCCGCATCAGTTTGGCAGTTATTCAGCTGTTACCCACATAAAAATTACTTGGCACATTCTTTGCACATTTCACTCTAGAATCTTAAAGAGCTTCACAACCATTAACTAACTAATCTTCAACACACTGCATGACAGATCGTACACACACTTTACAGATGGGGACACCAAGTCTCTTGCTCAAGTTCACACAGTGTGCAAGTGACAGAGCTGGGAGAAGAACCTAGGAGTCTGGACTCCCAGTTCCCCATTCTAATTACTCCTTTGCTCACTCCAAAAATGTTGAGTGAGTAGCCGCCTTGATGTAACTGTCCACCTACGGCCAGTTGCACACACAAGCCATCTCCTCCTTCCTTGTAACACAATGTCATGCTTGTTAGGTGCACCCTGCCTCAATCTGAAAGCTGCATTTGAGTCTGATCTTGAATATAGTTTTCGTAGGATAATTTGCAAGGGCAACTGTGACACAGTGAGGTCCTATAACATAACCAGCGACAGAACTGACAGTTCTGGTTTGTGTCATATAACATTTATTACTGGAGTGTACTTTCTCCTAAATAAAATATTAGTTCACATTTCTGTTCGGCTGCCTGGCTTCTGAATACCTGTCACTTCCCCCACAAACTATAGAGAAGATGAATTGAACTTTTTCCTCTAGAGGCCAGGCACACATTATTCACAGACTGCTATCAATCTGTTAGCCAAACTGAAGGAAGCTCACCCAGACAAGCAGTAATGCTTCTGGCAGTGCTGGCGACATGTATAGGGAGATAGTTAGACTGACAATGATGTGGAAAACTACAGCCAGGCTGTAGGATTTGGGGGTGCTGAATTGTTGCCTGATTCCTCCTAAATGTCACTGATGCATTGTAAATGAAAAAAGGAGAGGCTCTGTGATGGGTTGAACTAGGCATTCCCTGCCTGCTGCCAGAGACCCCACTGCCTTGGAGCACCCTGCCCCAGGAAGCTGTCTGTAGCAAGAGAAGGGCAGTGAGCCCAGACCTCTACGGGTTGCCTAGAGCAGCCTCTCAGAATCAGCTGCTGGTGGAACTAGTGAGACTTGGTCTTTTAGCGGCTTGAAGGGCCGGGGGTAGAGGCCAATCAGTGCTAGCAGACCAGATAAAAAAAGGCCAGTTCTGGGGCAGCCAAGGAAGGGTCTTTCCTCTGTCTTAATCCAAGAAGCCAGGCCTGGTCAGAGCCTAATTCTGACTGCAACCTTTGGCTTAAGTCAATGGAAGGCTTTTGTTTACTTTGGAGTGTAAGGCCCCTGTGGACCATCCTGAGTGGAACATTAATTTGACCAATGCAGGACTAGGTGAGCTCGCTTTGCAAGATGCTCCACTGGCTGAGGTGAGCCCGTGATAGGCTCTCAGATCTCCTCCAACCTCTCTAATCACTTCTTCTGCTTCTCATTAAGAGGATCCTCCTCTTGCCCACTCCTGCTTTCAGTGACTGTTCCACGGGGATCTGTCCTTGTGCCCCTTCTGTTCTCTATCTGCACCTTCCCTCTGGGTAATCTCCTGGGCAAACACAAATTCAGCTACCATTTCTATGCTGACAACTCACAGACCTACCTCTTCATTCTGGACCCTTCTCCTCCTGTCCAAATTAAATTCTTTCCCTGTGTTTCTGGCATCTCCTCATGGGTGTCCAGCTTAAACTCAACATGGCCAAATCAGAGCAGGACAGCTCATTAAGGGAGTTGGGCTTAGCCTCACTTGTGATTAATTCGCTACCTCACAAGTGATAGGTTTGAGTTCAGGAATCAGATATTCCTTAGACAAAAGGCCAGCAAGCAGCTCATTCAGAGACAGAGTCTGGGCAAAGGCCAGGAAAGGAGCCGGGCAGAAGGACCTGGTCTATCTGTTTGATTTATGTTATACTATTTTGGTTCTGAGAACTAAACCCATCCCTGAAGAGAGGGACCCCTGAAGAGAGCACTTTTGGGAGCTTTGTTTGATGTACTGGCTGGTGAGTGACCCAGTAGGTTAGAAGAGCTCTTAATCATTCCACTTAAGCTCTTCTTCCTTCCCTCCTCTACCACTCACCATGGCCACTACTACCACCACCATTGCACCATCGCTCAGGCTCATAACATGAGCATCATGTTATAGTTGGCCGTCTCTAGTTTCTCATATCCAAGTGTGTCCAAAACCTGGTGATTCTTCGTGCATAATCTCTCTAACATAGGGCCCTTCTTCTCCATCTACACAGCTAAAATCCTTATCCAGGATTTCATCATCTTGCATCTCAATGACTATTGCATCCTCTTCTCTGGCCCTGACAAAGTCAATCTTACCCCACTTACATCCACTGCTGCCCTTCTCTCCACTGCTCCCCTTGTGCCACTGCATCAAACACAAACTACTTGTCTTCACCTTCAAGGTCCTTCATGGTCTATTCCCACCATACTTATGATCTCAGATGCAATCAAGATATTGACTCCTGTCTCCACTCAGCCAAGGACATCAGCCTCCATCACCACCTTGTTGAGTTTCCAAACAAGCACCTTCATGCTTTCTCCATGTGCCCCGTAAACATCTGCAAAACTCAGTCATGATCCTTCTTCAAATCCTTTCTTAAAATTCTCTTTTGCTATGACGCCTACAAAAAACTTAACAGGTCAGGAATGGTCTCAGCACATCAGCTGCTTATCATTCTGATCAGCATTGTCTCATTGTTTCCTTCTGTTCCAACAGTCCATTTGTTGTCTTTTGTCTTATGCTTAGATCATAGGCTCTGTGGGACAGGGACTGTCTTTCTGTTATGTGTCGGTAGAGTGCCTAGCATAATGGGATCCTAGACAAGACTGGGGCTCTACGGGCTACCTATTAATTATAATAACAAAAGATAAGGACCAGCTCCTTTCTTAAAGGAATAGTGGACCCCAGCTGCATGTGCAGGGGTTCATGCAGTGTTGCTAACGTTTAAAACATTTTTCAATGGACCTGCCTCCAAATCACCTAGGGATCTGAGTTTTGGCTGCACTCTGATGAAATTATTGCATTCTCTCCCCTCCCCTCTTGTCGATTTCTTTGATTATTTAAATGCAGAATCCAGAATAACAAAGAACAAGAATATCAGTGATCAGAACAACCATTTCATCCCTGTTCCTAGAATGACAAGGATATCAAATGTGTGTCAGGGGAATACCAAAAATTATTTGTTCCTAAATACGATTTATTATCATAAAAGGGCTGTATTTTCTTCCTTCTGCCCTTTCACCATTTCATTATCACTGATTCACACATTCCATCTCCATATTTTTTCTTCTCAATTTTCTCTTCTATTCTTCTTTCACCTCTCCTTCTTTGCCTCCCCTTTTCTTTTCTGAAAAGCAGCAGCAACCTCTCATCTCATTCTGTCTCTTTCCTCTCTGCCTCACTGATGGTTGTGCAATCCCTTGCTGTATTTACTCCTGGGGGAATTCTGCACCACTGCACAAGCACATAATTAATGAGCCGTGCATATTTTAATTTTTTTGCACAGAAAAACGCTTCTGCTGAAAAGATGCCGCAGTTCTGCCTTTTGCCCAACAGAGGGCACTGTGGCGCTAGAACACAGCTGCAGCTCCTAGCCAGCTAGAGAAGAGAAAGACCCTGCAGAGCCTTCTTTGCAGCGGGCCAGATCAGGAGACAGAGGCTATGGGGAGACAGACAGCGCTGGGTGCTGGGGGGGGTCAGATAGGGGTTCATAAGGGCTAGTGGGGGGGGAACAGACTGAATGGAAGTGGAGGCGCAGGGCTACAAGGGGGAAGCAGGTGCAGGGCCACATGGTGATGGGGGAGGGAGTGCAGAGCCACACAGGGACAGAGGATGTCTGAGTGGGGGCACAGACACATGGGAACAGGGAGGGGGTGCAGGGACACATGGCGATGCGGGAGACGTGCCTGATTGAATAGGAGAGGCTAGGAGTCAGCCAGGGTCTGCATGGGGGAAGCTCCCTAACAGTCCCTCTCCGCCCCCCCAAAAAGACCTCTTCCATACTTTTCCCACTTATTCCCAACAACCCTCCAAGTTCACACCCAGGCTACTTCCCAGCAATTATTTCCCTCTCCCTCAGCTCCTCTCTTACCCCTGATTCCCCCCAGCCTTTGCATTGCTTCTGGGGGGTGCGGGAAATACAGTTCTGTGTTGCAGTTTAAATGAATTATTACGCAGAGTTCCATATTAATATGCCTAGTTAGGGATCTATTTGTTAAAAACCATTTTCTGAATCTTTTTTGTTGTCTATATTGTTACAGACATACTTGCTGACGGGTATTTTGAAATAAATGACCAAAAATAATTGAAAATGGTGTGATTATATTGTGTTATTTTGACAAATAAAATATGCAGAATTTGAAAATTTTGTGCGCAGAATTTTTAATTTTTTGGTGCATAATTCCCCCAGGAGTATTTATTCCATGTTATTTTGCTTGTTCCCTCTTGTTCCCCACCTGGGTTTTCTTCTGTATTCCATTACCTCTACTTTATCCTGCCTTTATCCCCCATGGGCATGTGGTACCAGCATGGCTAAATTGGTACAGATCTAGTTTAATTAACACAGTTGGCATCTTTGCTTCTGTTCACTCATCAGCCAGGCCCTATATCACTGAGATATAATGTAGCTTACCCTCTGGTTTTATGCTGGCTTTCTGAGAATGATTTCAGCATTCACTACTATGGTCCCTTAAAACAACAAGCAGAAACAGAACACTAGCTTCTCCCACTTGTCAATGGAGAAAACATTATTTATCCTGTTTTTCTTATGATCTTGTATCTGTCACTTGAATGGCTACCTACATATTTTTGGTTGTGTCTTGCTGCACCTGGATAGAACTGTATCTGCAGCAGTAAAATACTCCAGAGATTAATTTACCAGCAAATTTCTTACCATTAAAAATGAAGGACTGGATAACCCTATGATTTCATTTTCCTGCCTTGGGCAATGCATCTTTGCATGACACTGAATTTTCCAGTAGGGAAATAATAAAAAGCCACTAGCAGACCTAGACATTCCCGTTGCCTGGGTTACTTCAGGAGATGGTTTCATGAGACACTCCCTCTAACGTTAGTGGCACGCAACAGTTGTTCCACTTTAACAGAGCTTGGAAAAGCAGTTGTATGAGGACATGAGAGTCAACCATGAATCACATTTTTGAGATGCAAGTTGTGCTAAGCCAGGTAAAGGATGAAATCAATAATGTATCACATGTTCGAAGGAATTTTTGAAGGACTGTACAAACCAATTATTGAAGGAGAAGTACTGTGACTGATAAAGATGCAATAAACTGGTGGGAAGGGAAGAGGAAAAGAGAAGGATTCAAAAATATCCCTGATCCTTACCTTGAGCCGGCTCTAATTTGACAGAAAGACCTTCCCTGATTGCGGATTCTCCAGCACTTGCTGAAATTGCTTTACTCTCTTCTGTCTGTTCCTCAGCTGCCTTCTCGGGCTCCTTTTCCAGTCTTTTTTTCTGACTATCTGGTTTCAGCTCTTTTTTGCTCGGTCGGATATTGCCAGGGGAGGGAGGGCGTGTCTGAGAGGAGGGCACTTTGGAAGAGCCAGGTGGGGAGGTTATCTGTTTGGGGGTGCCAGGCAAAAAAGGCAAGGACTTGGATGCATGCCTGTTCAACCACAAAAAAAAACAGAATGATGGCAATAGGTTGGGCACCTTTCTATTCCCTCTATAGATAAAAGCTGTAATAGCTCAAAAACAAACAAACAAACAAACAAACAAACAAACAAACATCACTTCAAGATCTCCCTCCCAACCAACAGGAAATCTGAACCATGTTGAGACAGAATAATATTATTTAGCTGTTATACAGAACTTAATCTTCAAAACTCTTTATAAACATTAACTAATTAATCCTCAACACACACCTGTGAGGAGGGCACTGACAGGATATAATCTTCCTTTCTCCCCTATCCCTGACCACTGAACGCTTTCCTTTTTAAAGATTTGTTCATTGTCTGGCTATCCCGGAAGGAGAACAGGAGACACTGGATATGGTTTAACCAGGGTGCAATTTTATTATTAGATGTCTGGGATTACCTGGCAGATAAAAGGTGTACAGTGCAGGTAACGCCATGATCATTTAAATATCTGCACTGGGAGCTTCCGTTAGCGCCCCCTCCTTTCCATCCTGGTCCCCAATCACCCCATTGCTGGGACCTTACCATTCCCTTCCTCAAATGAGGGTTAAAGTGGGCTATAAATGGGGGGGAGGGTGGGGAGGATTAGCTCCTTGCTGTGCCAGTCATAGGCATCTCGAACACCCTCTGTTCTGTTCCTTTAACAAACACCTCCTTTAAATCCTTTACCAAGCCATTTATCTGGTCACTGTCTCCCTTCCCTACGGAGTATCTGCACTGGACATCCACCCCATACTGGCATAATGAGTTGTAACATCGTAGCCTAACTCCCTTCCCTACTCACCATAACAAAGCCCTCCCCGAACCTGCTGTGGGGAAGGCGAACCCTCCCACTCCACCTTGGCTAATCTGGTGGTGAGGGAAAGATTCCTTCCCAGCCCCCCTAGAAAGGAGTGACTAGTGCGATTGCCCTCAGCAGATCCTGACCAAACCTGGTATTTTGTCACTTCCAAGTGTAGGAGGGCGGGTGCTGCTCCGCCTGGTCTGGGAGTAAGGGGGCTTCTCCCGCCAGGCTTGCCCTTTATCAACTCCCCAGCCCTTCCAGTCCCTGGGGGAGGAGTCAGCATCCCCACGCTGTCCTGCTTCACTTCTGCAGCAGTGTCCATGCCTCACTACTTCCATCCCCCTTACAGCAGTATGCCCCTTTCCCCAGCAAGCCAGACAATGTCCCTCCTCCAGCCCCGCTTAAGGGGTCTTTTAATTGCCATTTTAATACATGTTTTCTGTTGCTGAGTCACTCAATGAGCACAACAAGTAGAGCTTAATATAGCTGAATCCCAGCATCTGTACTTCACTTACCAAACTGGGGAGAGAGCTAGTGATCTAGTTTTGGGATTGGAAGGAGAGTGAAGTCTCTTTACGCTGGAGGAGAGGTCCTTTTCTTTTTTTTCAGTCTAAGGATCAGCAAATAAACAGAAAATCATATTGCACGAGTAATTCCCATGGGCAAAGGACTACACTTTCAGCATAGGAAAACGAGAAATCAGTGCTGCCTCAGCACTTTCTACAGCCTGGCTGGTAAGTGTACGAACATGACTCCTGTAACAAATGTAATGATGTTTTGTGCCGGGGAATGAGCATTTGATAGTATGCACGCATATTAGTCACTCTGTGCTATCCTAAGATGCTACGGAAAACTTTTCAAAAAAGGCTTAAATTGATACAGACAGATAATTATCCTTTTTTAAGTTTTTCTCTTCACTGTTTGCAATACCCATGCAGATGCTTGAAATTAACACTTCATTCACTACAAATGTTCTATTTCTTCAGTTGGCCAAGAGCAAGTTCCCATCCCCCATTCCCGACAAGTTGCTTATGGAGCTCAAGTGTACATGGCTTTATTTATTTTGTTTCCTTATTTATGTGCTAGCACCACTGCTGCCATCATAGGCCTGAAATATGGTTCTTCTCCTTCTCTTCCCTGCTGGCAGCCAAAAAGCCCACACTGCTCAATCTTATGCAGAATAGTTATTTTCTTTTTTCTTTTTAATTTCTTATCTCCCAATGGCAATTTTAAAAACATCTATCAGAACTCAGAGCATATTTCCTACTAGATTATAACAGTTTCAAAGTAGATCAAAATTTGGGACCCTATGTACTTGTCAGAGCAGCTTTAAATATAAGAAACTCTCAGCTTTTAGGGATATTGAATTCAAAATATAGCTGGCAATCCGTAGAGGAAACAAGACTGGTGCACGGGTATCTATCAAATGTCTTTCTCAGATAGCATCCTGTCATTCATGGAGCAGCATAATCTTGTCAGAGACCAATATTATACTACCATGGCCAGGTATCAAGCACAGCACTGGCAGAGGGGAAGGCACTACATATTGCTGATCTGGAATTTGATTAGTTAAAAGATGTCTATAGTGTTTCTCTCAGCCATGAACTTAAACTGATTTTATAAAATATGGGAAAAGAAAGTTGAAGCAACAGGAATTTCTTGTGCAATCCCTTTATTTTTTTCCCTATTGACCACCATAAATCCTGAAATTCTTTGGGCAGTTAAGCTTAGCGTTAACAAGATTTTAATGGAAAGGTTATTTTTTTTTTAAATGTTAGCAAGTGATGGACCCAGGTGAAAATACTTTTCACAATGACAACTTGCCTTAAAAATCAATGGACATATGTTCAGGTGGTGTAAAGCGGCATACTTCCTTTGACTGCCCTTGAGCACCTAGCACATTAATTGTTAGGTGCACAAAAAATGCAGGATTTGGATTAGTGAAATGTCTTTAACTATGTATGTCAGAGTGACACCAGCACTATTGAAGATGGAAAGAGACTCAGTAGATCTGTTATTCTCAGTCAATTACAAAAACCCACCATGTACTTTCTAAACACATTTAAAAATAAATCTGATCACAGTTATCAGCTTCTCCATTACATAGACAGCATAGTGGGAATAACTGCTCACTCAGCTACTTTTGCTAATAATAGTATTCACAAATGGCCTTCTTCACCAAACAATTATGTCAACTTTTCTTCTTTTTTAATTAAAAAATATAATGAAAAAACCCAATCAAAAGTGCCAGACTGATAACCTTGGAGACTGAAATACTCTATTCACATGACAAATTTAGCAAAGGGCAGCAGCAGCGAAAGCTTCACAGTCCTGGTAATGTGCCGTAACCATGATCTGAAGGGACCATCTCGAAGGCTAAAAGAGTAGTTTACAGTCTCTATGTCTTGTATTACTCTTAGCTAAGACTACCCTCAAGAAGCATTAGAGAGAGAAGGTGGGTGAGGTAATATCTTTTATTGGACCAACTTCTGTTAGTGCGAACTCTGTGTAGCTTGAAAGCTTGTCTCTCTCATCAGCAGAAGTTGGTCCAGTAAAAGATATTACCTCACTCACCTTGTCACTCTAATATCTTGGGACCAACACGGCTACAATAACACTGCATACAACACAAAAAGAATGTCAATAGCAGTGGTGCTGATTGGGAGTTTGATGTTTGCCCTTTAGGAAACTGAACCGAAAACAACTGAATTTACAAAAGCCACAAAGCTATTGTTAAATAATTGTTACCAACTAGCATGATGTTAACTGGTAACCCAGAAGTGAAAGACTCCATTACCATTCTCCTAAACCATCCACATCTCTTTTTCATATGTTCTAATGTGTATTCATGTCACATGGTTCTGCTACAGCTGCTAGACTACATACAACTAGCATGCTTACCCCTGCTGAGTGTGTGGTCCTCCTACGTCCACTTGTTGTGTCAAAGAATTTTGGTCGGTCTGCTGGATTTCTACAGTTCATGGCCTTGTAGGACAGAGGGCTGATGGGGCTGCAAGATGCTGAACGAGGACAAATGGGGATAACTACGCGTGGGTTGTTTTCATTTTTTTTTTTTTTTTTTTTTTTTTTTAAAACAGAACAGCATTGGAGGAGTGACAAAGGAAAGCCAACAGCAGGAAACAGGAACGAGAGAGAATGAGACAGAGAGAGAAAAGGAAGAAGGTATTAATACATAAAGAACATTTTTAGAAGTTAAACCAGAAGCATCACTTGATACTCATTCATTTAGCCCCAAATATCTACTGGTTTATTTCTAATTGGAATTCATATACCTTTTAAATTGGAAGTTAAAAATTATCCCAGATGTTAGCAATTTTCAGATTTATCAAAGATGAGAAGGTGTTCAAAAACAAATGGACATCAGACAGTGATACTGCCTTTTATTTTAAAAAGTGATGGTTCTGATAAAGCAACAAACACAAAATTACTGATCTGAAATTGATTAGCTTAGTACATTCATTGACATGCATTTTAATCTGGAAAAAAAAAATCAGGCAAAAATCTGATAAACAATTAGGTTTTCAGGAACTAGTTGGGGCAGGAAGGGGAGGTTGAAAGAGAGAGAGACATACAAAGACCAAAACACTTCACCATCTATACAGGGAATATAGTTCAGCAGTCTAGCAAAATAATTACATTCCTTCATGTCAAACTGACAAAGTCACATCATGCGTTAAGGATAACTTGTGAACTTGTGATCTCTTGGTGAAATTGACAAGATTTCAGAAATAAACAGACACCGAATAAATGCACGCTTCTTCTACCCTACCCAGAATACGCTGTACCATTCAATCAGATATGTAGCATAAAATGCATGTATATTTTTAGGTTATCATTAAAATGGATATACCATAGTACAGGGGTGGCCTAACTTACTGACCCACCGAGCCACAAATGACAATCTTCAGAAGTTCAAGGGCTGGGTGTGCCTGCCAGGGCTCAGGGCTTCAGCCCTGCTCCTGCTGAAACCCCAAGCCCTGGCAGGTGTGCCCCGGAGGGCTGAAGCCTCGAGACATCCCCTATCCCTGCTGGGCAGAAGCCAGAAGCAATGCCGGGGAGGGGGCCACATGGAGTCACATCCCTCCCCCCCGATTTTTACCAGAGTTTGCTGGCTCTGCTCGGTCACATGGTGCCGCCGGGCCCCCCTCCCTGCATGGCAGCTGCTGGAACAAGCAAGTTGGGAGCTGCAGCCGTGGGGAGAGGCAGCTGCAAACAGCTGAGAGCTGTAGGGAGAGCCATTGCTTTTGCTGCTGCAGCCCCTCTCTGCAGCTCCCAGCTGTTTGCCATCGCCGTTTGCCATCGCCTCTCCATGCGGTGCTAAGACCTGGGAGCTGCGGGGGGGGGGGGGGGGGG